TAAATAACTATTACGTGCAATTTCAACGAAATTGTTGCATTGTAAAAATAATGTATGATATGACAATTGTTGAGGCAAGGGCGGCAAAAACTATTCAGCCTATACCTTGAAAATTTGTAAATCCGCCACTGCTTATTTACCTATATGTTAAAAATTGCACTAATTCTAAATTTTGTTTTTTGTATATAATAAACAAGTTTTATTATATAAATAACTACTGTTAATGTACGACACAACATTCACAACAATATGCAGAGATATTTGTATATGTCACGGCTAATGTGCAAACTTGGATAGTTTATAAACTAGCTGGATAGTTTATAAACTAGCCAAACTGTCAGCTATTTTAATTGAAAATGTATTTTCAACTAAATTAGCGGCTAGTTTACAAAATAACCAAGGATCTTGGCTAATTTACTTGAAATTATTAGGGAAACTAAAATAGCTGGATAGTTTGTATACTATCCATTTCAATTTGGCTAATATGAAAACCAAAATTTCTAGTAACACAAAATAGCCAAGCTAGTTTATAAACTATCCAAGTTTGCACATTAGCCGTAACATATACAATACTAAAAGGACTTAAAGCGCCGTCAAGGTACTAAATGCGTTTTAGCGCGCTTGCGTCAATAAAAATTCCGTGTGTTGGCGGGAATGCTTGTAAGAGTAATTTTGAGTCACTTACTGTATTGAAGGAAAATTTCATAAAAGTATACAAATATAAAATTCAATAAAAATTAGTTGACTGTGTGTTATATATAAATAAAGTCTCAAAAATGATTAAAACTAGAACCAGCTACCTACCTGTTATGCAGTCTATTATTTTCCAGGTTTTAAAATTGTATACCCTATGCCACCAGAATTATCTATTTTCAGAAATAAACTAATAACTCATCGAAATAATAATAACTTTGCCGTAAAAGTAAAAAAAATCTGAAAATTTACACAGAGTTTAACTTTCACCTCGAATGACTGTTTAACGAGTGATTTAATCGAAAAATTATAAGAGACCTTTTTTGTAGTGCGTTCAATTTACTATAAGAATATATATGTCTCATTACTGTAAGTCATCTTGCCTGGGGAAAAAAGAATTAATTGAAAAAAGTGTCAAAATCCCAAGTAATTTGAATGGAAAATGTATCGTCTTTGGGGCAAGGTTTATTATGAATATTAAGAGTTTATTTTGGTCTGAAATTTTTTTTTAGACGATAGACTAAAAATTTAGGGGGCGTCGCAAGAAAAAAAATCAACTTGGTAAATAACGGACACCCTACTGTACAGGTAGATGTTATATACAGATTTCTCTAAAGCTTTTGATAGGCTTGACCATGGCATTCTTTTACAAAAGCTGTGAATATTTGGACTCTCATCAACTTTAATTAAACTCTTCTCTTCATATCAAATAGTAGATTCTACTAAACCGCAAGCAATATGTCGAATGTCATGGTGCAAAGTCTAAAGAAATAATTCCATCTTCTGGAGTACCAGGGATCAATATTAGGTCCATTACTATTTATTTTATTCATAAATGACATTGTAGCAGGAGATAGATGCTGTTTGCTGATGATGCTAACATTTTTTCTCGCATTGAGTCTGTATATGATTGTTTGCAGCTTTAACATATGCTAAACAAAATAAACGATTGGTGTGCTCTTAACGTTGAAAAGTGCAATGTATTTTCCTATAATAGAAAAAAATATCCACGCATATTTGACTATACTTTTAATTCTCAGACAATAAAAGCCAGTGAACACTTTTATATTTTAATTTGCACATTGAAAATATCATTAATGCAACTAACAAAAATTTGGGATTCGTTGTCAGAAACTCCTTAGATTTTGGTGATGTTTTTACATTATGTCTACATTACAACACCTTTGTTAAATCGAAATTAGAGTATGCCAGTATAATATGAAATCTTCATATGCAATATTCCGTTTCACTTGAAAACATACAGCGTCGCTTTCTTAAACTTGTTAGTTACAGAGTTGATGGGATTTACCCTCCTATGGGATTTCCTCAAACATAATTACTAATTAGGTTTAACTTTGAAAGTTTGGAGGAACGCAGGATAAAGGCATCCTTAGTATTTTTGTTTAAACTTATAAATAATTGTATTGACTGCCCTTACCTTTTAAATAAACTTTATTTAAGAGTTCCTCGTGTTACGTCGAGAAATAATTTCACCTTTTATTTGCCAGGAGCAAAAACAAATATTTTAAAATTTTCACCTGTATACTTTATGTGTGAAACAAGTACAATGAGTTGCAAGATAGATTCGATATTTTTTCATGCAATGTGCAAACAATAAGGAATATAAATATAAATACCTATTTTTTTTATATCTTTAGTTGCAATATTATTTTTTGTTAAAATATTTAAATAGTTTTTAATATTGCATTTTTATGTGATGTATTTAGTTTTAGTTTTTAATATCTCACCTTGTAATTGGTTCAAGTACAGTAAGATGATGTAAATAAATAAATAAATAAATAAATAAAATAATGGAAAGCAATGTCATACATTGCAAAAATTCTTTTTCACTATAGCGGTTGAATTTAAAATTGAATGCCCTCAAAATGTTACTTATTTACCCATAAATACAAAAATAATCAATAATTTAACCTTTAAAATAGTCTACCAAAACGGTGAATTGCTCTGGTTGAAAGGAGAGATCATTACGATAAGAGTTCACAAGCTCTTATCGTAATGGTCTCTCCTTTCAACCAGCAATTCATTAAATGCATTTAAGGGCTAAGCAGCAGCAGCAGTAGAGCAATGTTTTTAAAGTATAACAAAAGTTTGACTACAAATAATATCAGTGTTAATAAAACCTCAAATCTTTTCGATTAAAAATAAAAAATAATGAATATTTTAAACCCAAATTATAAAGTTTTTTCGGATAATTCTCTTGTAAATGTAGAAAATCATTTCCATCTGCCGTATAATTCTAGTGCATTTAAGAGTAACGATGAAATACGAATGTTTACTTAACCTTCTGTGAGTTATATTTATATTAAGAGAAAAATACTTAAAGAAGATGGGTTTGTATCAACAACAGCAACATTTGTGAATAACTATTTCAATCATTTATTCAGTAAAATTCGATTGGAGATTTCTGAAAAAACTTTGGATTGGTTTAGAAATCCTGAAATTACTACAACCCTTAGAGGATAAACGTCATTTAATAAAAATGATGTTAATCGCTTAAAAATTTCCCATTTGATTTGTGTTTAATTTCAAGTTAGCACCTCTGCAAAATTTTGTTTATGTTCTAAAATAATATAAAATCATTATTATTATTAGCTTCAATGTAGCCCTTAGAAACTGTTTATTGTAAAGGGTGTTTCAAAAGTAACGCAAGATTTGAATTAAATAGAAAACACAGTTTTTAGCCTTTAGATTATTTTTTTTTTATTGAATCACAAAGGGTTATTTATGGAATAACACATTGGGCAAATAGCCTCCACGGCTTTGCTGGAACATGCGCAATTTTGACTGCTTGACTAGCCTCATTTCGAAAAAAGTTCCAATGATGCCTAGCCCAAAATCCGCACCAAACAGTGACACGTTGTGGAAGCATTTGTTTTTAGACAATCACATCTGGGTCTCCCAACCCCAAACACGGTGATTAACAAAGCCATCAAGGTGAAAATTGAAATTCAACCACATTTATGCAGAATGATCATGGGAAATTTCGACAAAAGAAAGCGCATGTGCTAGCAAAGCCGTGGAGGCCATTTGCCTGATGTGTTATTTCATAAATAACCCTATCCTATGTACTTTGTGATTCAATAAAAAAATAACAATTCAAAGACTAAAAACTGTGTTTTCTATTTAATTCAAATCTTGCGTTACTTTTAAGACACCGTTTATAAGGACAATTATAACTTTATTTTCCCAGAATACATGATCGTAGACAATAAATCTATAAAAATTATTCTTTGCAATCTTTTGAGCTCAGCACAAAAAGACTCACTTCTCCTCCTAATGACATAATCTACATTCTATTAAATCCAAACTTTTTTATAGAAGTTATAGCAAAAAAATATTTTTTGTTGTAAATTTTTGGAATTGAGGTATATAATATATCTTTTCCCGAATCAGGACGACTAGGAGAATGTACCATTAAAGTTTTCTCAATTAAGACTGATACACCCTGTATATTTATAGATATAATTAAACAAAAATTTATAAATTTAAGTATATTTATAGAACATACAATAATTATTGTCAAAAGTATAGAGAAATAGAAGTAGAAAAATTATTGGTACTAAAGATATAAATAGTAAACATACCCATTATTAATGTAAATTTTAACAAAATATTTAAAACCCAAAAATTTTGGAGTATATTTTGATACTATAAAATAAGTAAATAGAAAATGTACTAACTACTCTTATATTATTGTTTACAGTTTCCTTTGGTCCTTTACAATAATAATTCATTCTGCATCTACAGATAAAGTTAGACAATATGTAGATATGTATCCAAATAGTTTGTAGAATGGAAGGATTTAATTTTGAGATAGAAGTTTCATCTAAATTTGAATAGGCCTTTAAATTAAAGCTACATTAAATATGTAAGAAATCTTCAAAATATAGTTAGTTTTAAGTTTAAATCATACACTTTATTATTAATAATTTATGTGACAAATACTACCATCTACTACATTGATTTTTTATGGTTTTATGGCACCTTTTATGTTGTTGGTTTTAAATAAAATTTCACATAAATATTTAATAATTAAGAACATAGTAAATATAAATAATTTTTTAGTAAAATCAGTCAATATAAATAAAATACTCTGATAAACGTAAAAAGAGCAATTTCAAAACTTCGAAATCTTTTTACAATTTCTATAATCTAATAACTACAATAAAATTAGGCCAGGGAAATTGATTTTTATACATTAAGATATGAATATATTGTTTATATTTTTGTTGATCCCTGTCGTAATTTTTATCCTAAATAATAATACAAGAAAACCTTCAATTATGCTATAGAATATGTAGATTTTCACAGTTTTTAAATTTCGAATCCTCTTTACCAAACAGCCACGTAAACATTTGTCTAGCTTTCATGCTAGCTTTTACCATGCCCCTGCTTTTATACCATTGTTGCTGATGTTCTCTGTCTTCGAAATTTAATACTTTTAATCTAATTTGAGTTAAAATTCCTGCTAACAATTCATCCACATTGTGATTTATCCCCACTGATATTTCCATAAATTTAGCTCTAAACGTACAAGCAAGGCATCTTCCGTCTGAAAGAAATAAAAAAATGTTATTACTTTTTTTAAGTAGTTTATAAAAACAACGTCCATACGTAAAGGGTACGTAAAGGGTATACGTAAAAACATAGAATTCATTAAAGGTTTTTCATATTATGGCTCTAAGCCTTTAAGAAATATTTAGCTTACAGAAGCACAATGTATCCACTTTTATATTGCAAATTTATCAAAGGATATTAAATAGAATAAAGGTAAAAAGAAATGACAAGAAATAAAGTTACAAAGGTTTTCAAATAAATATTTAATTTGACTTAATTTTGTGGGATTACATGAAAATAATAAAGTATTAGATACAGTAATGGAAAAATAAAAAAAAATATCGATTTTATTTTATCTTGAAAGCTCTTTGTGCAATATCTTTAAGTACATATGTGTCTCTCTTAAAGATTTCTTTTTATTGGTGCGTGAAAGAATTGTTAAATATAATAGAAACAGCAAACGTTATGTTTTTGAAAAGGAAATTTTTAAGGGGTTATTTACTTAGATTATCACTTAAAACATTTAAATGTTTTAAGCAAAGATGTAGATGACACCCGAATGGAATATCTATACCTTTTATGGGCGCCCATATAAAAAATCCAAATCAATTTATTTTAGTACATAAAATTTGGATTGGTGAGCAAAAAAATTTTAAAAGCCCTACAACAAATAATTGTATTTAATATCTTTTATCAAAAATATTTTTCTTCCATAGCAATTTTGTTTTTTCCTTGTATTGTTCCACTATTTTTATTTTCGATAAAATAAGTAAATTTGTTTGTTAGTTAAAAACAAGAGTTGACCTAATGAAACTGGTACACTGAAAGAAATATATACTAAAGTTAAATAAAAAAATAATTAGGGCAAATATATTTTATGTTTCATATATAGACTACCACATACATTGCTAAAACAAATATATTCGTTTGGTTAGCAGCCTATTGCTGCCCTAGCAATATAAATGGTGTTTCTAGCAATATTTTTTTGCTGTAATTCACTTATAGTTTACATTTTATAGTAAGGGTAAGTTTATTTTTATTTAGATCTAACATATCTTCTTTACAATAAATGTATTACAAAATTTACCATACATTCATAATAAACAGTAGTATAAATGTGTAAAGCACTAGTATAAAATTTTTAGTATAAATTTGTATTTACTTTTAGCAACAAATTTCTTTCAGTGTAATTATTGCCTACAGAGAGTTTGGATTTAGAAGGTGAGTTTGCAAAGTTCTGTATTATTTGAGCAGTATTTTAATTTAGTATATGTTCGCATTTTTTATTGCTTAAAAATATTTTTAAAAGGTAGTGCTACAGGGTGTTTCACGTTCGTGGTCCATTAGAAGTTTTTGGGGAACAGAAAAAGACATCAATTTGAAGTTTTAAATACACTTAAGTTTATTTTTCTAAAATATTTTGAACGAAATGATACTCATCCGTCAAATGTTTCTTGATGCGAAATAATATTTATATTATTAGAAATTGTTAAATTCTCTAAAATTGCTAAATTTAGGTATAGGTTATAGTTATAGTTACATAAATTGAAAGGTTTTCTAAATTTATATTTGATTATGTAAAAACATACAGGGTGTTACATTTAAAATAAAAAAGTTATTAACGTTTCAAGCAGAGCTGCAACAAGTCAGTTTTAAAAAGACTTAAATCTTAAGTCTTAATCAATTCTAAAATCAAAATGATTTAAATCTTAAGTCAATTCTAAGATAAAGTTCAAATTATTTAAGTATTAAGTCTTTGAATTAAATCATTTTCTTTCAAGTCAAGTCATTTTCGCAAATTCTTAAATCAATATAAAGTGATTTAAGTTATCTTATGACTTAATTCCTTTAGTAAGTCGTTTTTATGACTTAAGTCTATATTTTTTATTTAAATCGTGTAAGAGTTAAATCAAAATGACTTGAATCAAAAATTGTGATTTAAATCAAAATAATTACAATACAGCGATTTTTTAAATGTTAATAATAATTTTATGGTATTAATGATACTGATATTGTAGATACAGATAATAATAAACCACTATGTTAAGAATTTAAAACGATTTATTTTCAGAACACTTACAAACAAAATAAAAACTTAAAACACATTTTTTGAGTATATATTAGACAATAAAAATAAAAACTTAAACCACCTTTTTTAGTAGAGTAGACAAACAGGGAGGCTACTATTTTATATACATAAATGGGTATACCCATTTATGTATATAAAAAACTTCTAAACGGTAATAGATTTAATTTCTACTCAGTTAAAAAAAAAAACTCTGTTAAAATAGATAAAAGTTGAAGCATTTTTCTTAAAATCGCTGTATTTCAAAAACTGATAACTTGTTGTTTTGTTAACTTTTGTTATCTGGTTTAACATCCATCTAAAAAAAAAATATTCCTCCCTTAAGGGAGTAATGATGGGAAGTTCCAAACTCTCGATTCACGTCCGCTCAGATTGTTTTCACTTTGCACTAATAATCACAAATTAGACATAACTACGCACCGAACATGACGAATGTTGGCAAACAAAATAACAAAATTATAAATCCCCACTTTTTTTAATTCATTTTAGACAGGACATTTTTTAATGTAGCCGTCAAACGGTTCCAAAAAGCTAACTTTACCGCGGCGGTTTTTTTTATCCACTAGCGGTAGCAATTGTAGGTAGGAAATTAAAGGAGTTTTTGATCTGCTGCCGCGTGAACCCCTGGCAGTTCAAAAGAAAATGCCGCTGTTAAAAATTTATAAAAAAAATATATGAAAAATCTGACTTAAATATTTTCAAAAAGACTTAAATCTTTTTCAAAAAGACTTAAATCTTTTTTTGACTTAAATTGTTTCTATCTGACTTAAATCGAATGTACTGATTTATAAATGACTTAAATTTTTTCTATTTTGAAAAAAATATTTAAGTCACAAATCATTTTGAAAATTACTTAAATTTTAGTCTTAAGTCAGTTTTAGAGAAATAACTTATTACCAAATGACTTAAGTCATTAAAACGATTTAAATCAAAAAAACGATTTAAGTTTTCTGAGAGCTTGCAGCTCTGGTTTCAAGTTAGCCTAATTTGTAATGGTTTTTCACAAGTAATTTGTTGAGAAATATTACAGAATTAATATGGAATCTTTTCAACAATGTTTTAAGATTAAAAAAAATTTCACCCCCATATCAGCAAACTAAATAACTAAAAAGTTATAGGCTATTTTTTTTATTTATTCAGAAAAACCTAAATAACCCATTGTATAAATATATTTGTAAATATAATATAATTTGTTTTATATAGCTAATAACTACTATCACAGTTGTCACAAATCGTCTCTTCTTTTGCTTAGAATATGTTGGACTATTAACTTTTTGAATTTGTTTCCCGTGGTGTGTTTTATGCCTTCAGGTAGGTTGTTAAAGCTCTAGCAACATCAGTCAAAGAATATCCATTTTTAAAACTAAGAAGACACCTCAGAAGTAACACACATTAATTAACAAAAAACAACTTGATAGCTTTTGAAAGCCGTATATGACATGTCCAAGTATAGATAATCTGTAGGATGATTCAACCAAACTATCACTGTCATCCTCAATAGATACCTTAGTTCTTCGTACAGAAAAATTATAGGAAATTGCAATGTTTTATAAAAAAATCCATATTTTCCACAAAAATAAAGATATCGAGGTGAACCAAATCCAAAAATGTTCAGAATATAAGTGACTTAATAATTAAAACTACATTTAGAATAATATTCTGTTTCGGCACTCTACAGAGTGTCTTAAACTTATGTTAAAAAATATAATTTTGTTTAAACCTGTATATTAAAAATGTACGTCTCTTTTTTAGTAGTTTTTAAAATGTTAGCGATTCTCCATTAATTTATCTGCAAATTTTTTTTAAATCCCACATTAAATAAAAAAGTTATTTGGGATTGAAATTCATCGAAAATAAGTGTGGATCGATTATTTTGCCTGTTAGTGTATTTACGAAAATAACATTTTTTTTAAATAGGACACCCTTTACGTATTTTGAAATTAAATTAAATTAAATTTAGACCAAAAAAATATTATTGCATAACTAACCTAACCTTAAAAATAAACAATTAACTTGAACTTTGTTATGCTTTTTAAAATGACCAAGTTATTACAATAAGAAAGATCTTTTTATTTTTGTACTTTTAAACTTAGGGTAGTTATGCAATTATAATTTTTTTGTTCCAAACTAACTTGTATTTCATATTTGTAAAAATATACATGGTGAGCCATTAAAAAAAATATTTTTGTAAATATTTCGGAAACCTGACGTTCAATTGTTTTATTCAAAAGAAAAAATGACACCAATTTGCTAATTTAGTTTGCAGATAACCTTAGACACGGTGTATATATTTTATATAGAGATGGGTTCTAAAAGTACATATTTTATTAAACAAATAAGGTAGGTACTAACCTTGCGTTGATACTGCCCTACTTCTTGCTAGATCTATTTTGTTAGCAACTAAAATGGCCGGCCTAGATCTCAATAGATCGGCGTCCTGAAGTTTGGTCAGTTCTGCTTCGGCTTTTAAAAAACTTGCTTTGTCAACGACAGAGTAGAGGACCACAAAACCATCTGGGGGATGCATCTTATCAATTTCCTAAAAAATATATACCATTGTGTAAATGGCGAATGCGCCGGGATAATACAATGGTATTTATTTTTCCCGACGCATTCGCCATTTTTTTTAAAACATCGTACATTGAATCAAAATTAAAATGTAAATAATTAAATTAACTTTAATAAATAGGTACGCTTAAATGTACTTTATTATTTTATGAAAATGTCTGTCAAATAAAACAACAAATTTTATAAAAAATATAATTCGGCAAAAAATAAACCCATAATCTTTATATAATTATTACGATATATATTTTAAGAATGTACTTAAACATAAATTATTAATTTTAAGCTAAATATATTTTTTTATTTTGTGTAACTAATTAAAATCAAAATAAATTATAACAAATTAACATAGGTTACTTTTATATTTTGTATGTAAACTAAATCTAAAATAACGACTATATTATATAATTTATTTTCAAGCGTAGAACAATTTTCGTAATATAACACTCAAAAGCCCATATAGAAAGACTTCATATTTGTACCCAGTTTAAAAGTCAAATTATTATACATCGCCGTACAATAATGAAAATACATTAAAATTAAAAAGAATGATTCGATATCGTCGGGTTACTGCAAGAATAAGATAACTCTTTTTTTTAATTTTTTGACTTTTTATTACTATTATTTTGATATGAGAAAGCATACTAACTGTCTTGCTCTGATCTGCAGGCTCGGCAGTGAACACTGAGCTCGGCTTTAAATAATCGCTTCTTCTGCTTGTTAGATAATGTACTATTTAAAGAATTTTTGGGATTTTCTATTTATTTTTATTCTGCATACACACATTATCGTATATAATTTTATGCCGCCAAGTTATATTTTAAATACACATTTACAAGCTGTGACTTTATGGCGGTTTAGTGACGGTCTAAAGTAAGTAAGATCACCTCAACTGGACCCCCCATTTCCCACTTGATCGTGGAATTCAAATTAATATATTTTAAGATAAAGTACTCACTATCAATAATGAAACCCTGAAACAGTTTTTAAAATTTTGAATTTTAACAAAAATTTTAATTTAAATTAATTTAATTAAAAAATAGATGACAGAAAAACCGTTAGAGCTAATTTAATGAAATTTTCAGGATTAATTGTTTAATATTCATATTTTAAAAAACAATTCAAAATTTTAAATTATTTATTTATTATCACATTTTTAATTAACTTTTAAATAAACACATGCAAATTTTAATGATTTCTCCCTCAGCTATATGCACTTTATGTGTTTATGGGTATTATACACTTTATATGAATTTATTTATCCCCGAGTGCGAGCGCTCTTGGACTCGGCATCCGCTCCAATCAGTATTAATAAATAATAAATATTATTTAACAAATTTAATTTTTTTAAATGGTATAATATATAATATTTGTTTTTATTTATAAATAAAGACTGTAAAAATGAACATAAATGTCCCAGTAGCAAATTAATTTTTGTATTGTTTTTTAATTACCTCCATTTGTTTTTTATGTATAAAGGTAAATATCAAATGAATTTTACAAGCCATTTCAGTTTATTTGTTAAATAAGTTAACACGTACATCAGTTAATTTATACTAAACACAAGAGTTTTAATTTTGTAGATTTGCGTTTAACTATAAATATATTTCATCAAATAATTAACGTTATCATTTTTATTCATATTTACGTATTATATTAATAGTGATTTATTATGAGCTGGGTGAATAAATGCTGTAATCCTTTTGAAAATTACGTGATAATTTTAGAAACACCAGCCCCCTGCCACCCCTAATTAAGATTATTCAAATTAAAGTGGTGCAATTTGTAATTTAAAAAAATCTAAGAATTACAGATTTCATACCAAAAAAAAATTATGGTGAAAGTTTGAGTCCATAATATTAATATTAAGAGGTCTATCATCGCAATTTTAGATTTTTTTTTCCTGAGCAAGTTTTTGTCTCATAACTCCCAAATCCCAAATTGAATGCTCTACAAAAAAGATTTTATTAAAATTTCCCGTCAGATGAACCGTTTTCTTACAATCATGCCTTAAAAATTGGTATAGTTTTACAATTTGATCTTTTAACTTTGGAATTTTGTAATTCATGTAAAAATCAGTACCCTGAAAAAAAACGACAAATATTCTTATGGGAAATCAAATGCTCTACAAAAAAAGTCTTTTATCATTTTTGGCTAAATTCACTCCATCAAAAGTTATCCAAGGTTAAATTAAGTCAAAACGAAATTTTAACCTTGAACAACTTTTGATTGAGTGAATTTAGCCAACAATGTTTAGAGGCTTTTTTTGTAAAGCATTTCATTTCCCATAAGAATATTTATCGATTTTTTATGGGTACTGATTTTTACATGAATTACAAAATTCCAAAGTTAAAAGATCAAATTGTAAAACTATACCAATTTTTAATTTTCGATATACTTTACAAAAAAAATAGTCGATTTTTTGGCCTAGTCTAATATATATATATATATATATTATAAAATTTTCAAAAATTAAAAATGGTATAAGATCTGTGGATTTTTAAAATAAATTTTGAAATTTGTCGATAAACTTTAATGAATTATGTGAATTGCACCACTTTAATTTGAATAATCTTAATTAGGGGTGGCAGGGAGCTGGTAAGGCGCGCTGAAAAACTAATTTTTTTCCGCAAACTTCAATTTAAATTTTGCTTGCGCAGAACTTGTCTATTTAAGGTCATTATAAACTCACATAAGTTTGGTGTGGGTCCCATGTCTACTAACTGAGATATCGGTATGCCCAAAATCCACAATCCGCCAATGAGCTTCACAGTATAAAACTAAATATAATTTTGCAAATTTAAAATGACACAAGAACGATTTTAATGTTAAAACTGAATGGAACTTTTTCGCGACATCTCACGGTAAAGGAGCGTGTGATGGCTTGGAAGGAAGCGTGAAAAGACAAGCTTATCGTGCCAGTCTTTAACGCGACAATGATAAACACATCACTACACTGAAAGAAATTTGTTGCTAAAAGTAAATACAAATTTATACTAAAAATTTTATAATAGTGCTTTACACATTTATACTACTGTTTATTATGAATGTATGTTAAATTTTGTAATACATTTATTGTAAAGAAGATATGTTAGATCTAAATAAAAATAAACTTACCCTTACTATAAAATGTAAACTATAAGTGAATTACAGCAAATAAATATTGCTAGAAACACATTTATATTGCTAGGGCAGCAATAGGCTGCTAACCAAACGAATATATTTGTTTTAGCAATGTATGTGGTAGTCCATATATGAAACATAAAATATATATATATATATGAAACATAAAATATATTTGCCCTAATTATTTTTTATTTAACTTTAGTATATATTTCTTTCAGTGTAATGCAGTCATTATTTATGTAGCCCAAAAATTCATTTAAAAAAATTGCTTTTGGTTTTTGCTCTCAAGAGGAACATGATTCCCACGAACTAAAATACTACGTTTTCAACAATCTTTTATTATAAAAAAATACCCGCCAGTTTGACTTTTATAAGCTTTAGACAGTGTAGGATTTTTTTGAAAGATACAAGAATAACAACTAATAAAAAAATTAAGAAAAAGTAAAAAAACTGCTGGGAAATTTATGTTTCATTTAATTATTAGTTTATTTTTAAAGTCTTTATTTGTACCTAAATAAAAAAAATATTATATCTATGTTATAATGATTACATTAAAAAAATTAAATTTGTTAAATAACATTGTTTCTTATTGTAAAAGACAGTTTATTTTTTATCAATACTGATTGGAGCGACTGCGAGTCTACGGCGCGCAGCAGCGCGATGTACCGACATCGCTTGCGCTCGGGGATAATAAATTCATATTGTTTAAACTAATAGCGGGCAGTGGAATTTTCTTGCAAAATACTAAAATGTACAATGCATGTAACTGATAAAAACAAATTCATAATTTGAGGGAGAAGTCATTAAAATTTTTATTTGTTTATTTAAAAGTTAAATAATTTCAAATTTTAAACTATTTTTAAAAATGTGAATATTTAACAATAAATCCTGTAAATTTTATTAAAATATCTCTAACGGTTTTTCTGTCATCTATTTTTTAATCTCCAAAATTTTCATAGTAAAAAAAAAATTTGTTAAAATAAAAATTAAAAAAAAACTGTTTTAGGGTTTTATTATTGATAGTGAGTACTTTATCATGAAATATATTAATTTGAATTCCACGATCAAGTGGGAAATGGGTCCAGTTGAGGTGATCTTACTCAACAGTGGCTTTTGGGCTTTAAGTCGTAGACTGTAGTTAGCTTTGGTTTGTTGTTGTAAATGTCATAAAATCGTCAAAATAAATCGAATATAATGATCTTTAGAAAGTGAGGTTAGAACCATCTGACATGTCAGATTTTATTTATTTATTTTTTAAATTACTTTATTTTTGAGTTTGTTGTAAAAAAGTATAGTTTGCAATACGTTTTATAAACTATTATTTAAAACATGCTACGCTGATGAATAATTAAAACTCGTGTATAAAATGATGTTTAACAAACTTGTTGAATAATATACTATTATAAAAATTTGGAAAACCAAGATATATGATGTATGAAGTTTTATAAACGCCATTTTAGTTACGAGTTTTATTAGGCACAAGCGAAGCTTGCGAGCTAGTGTTTAATAAAAACGAGTGTCTAGAGAAGTTTATAAAACGAGTTGCATACTATACTTGATCTACGACGAACACAAGTAAGAATTTAAAGCCAATTTTAATTGTTAAATATTTGACATCTGACGCATTTAACCTCACTTTTTCGCAATTTATAATAAAGCCGGTGACTAAAATGCTCAAAAGGCACTGTTGCTTAATTCAGCCCGTGACTAAAACGCCATTAAGTCATAGCTTGTCAATTTGGGAGTAGATAAAATTGATTTATCTACGGTAGGTAGGTCCCAGAGAGCCATATCAGGTTAAAACATGGCCAAGAATTGCCCATTACCTTTGGAAAAGTTTTGCCAATA